CCCGAAAACCGGTACTACATCATTTCTATCATTTGGCTAGAGATAAGATTAATTTGGGCAAGATCGGAATTTCTTTATGTGAGTTTGTAAACCCGAGTCTCTGTACTGAAAAGGTAATGATCAGTTTTAACCTTATTCAATATTGATGCCTTTTATAGGCTGTTGTGTGTAAATACGGTGATTAGCTTGTTCCAAGGGCCCTTCCGTGGAATAGAAAGGGATTAAGTGAAGCCTCATCGCAAAATTTCTCCAAAAGTCAGAGCAACCACAGAAGGCTCTAGGAAAGGAACACTTCTCATGGCAATGCAAAAGGGAGAGGAAACCCACAGAAGGAAAGATCTGGGAGCAGATGGCGGAGTGAGCCATACAGACCAAAACGTCTGCCAACTGTGATGTAGCAGCTGAGAAATGAGGCATCAACCCAGGTGAGAATATGTAAACCCTTCCCCTGCCCTTGGCTACTTCCAATAATGGGCTTATCCTCAGAGGGTCACATTGTCAGCTTCTTGCTGACACATAGATCCTCCTACTTGGAATTATGGCCTCTGTCTTGTCACTATCAGTAAAGTACCATTGTTTTTTCCATTTTTCAGACATCATGGCCACCTCAAAGGAACTCTTAGTGTATGGAAATCTTTCCTTCACGATATCTCCATTCATATCACCATTTTTCATGGGTACATTGCCTCATTCTTCCTTTTCCCTGTGCAGTTATAAGCAGGATGTTGTAGAATGATGTAAGATATCTCCAAAATTGCACCTTTGGATAAAGGATCTAACTTCCCTTGTACAAGGCATAATCCTTGCTTTTAAGGAACACATAGTTTGATGGAATCTTCATTGAGCATCCCCATGATTCAAGGCCTTACACGAGTCAAGAAAATGACTAACCATACATTATGTCTGTAACCAGAAAGCATCCCTCTTCTTTACCTGTGTGCTGATGGTTAAAATCCTTTCAACAGCCACTAATTTTTTTCATTCCATAGGTAGATTTGTACCTTAAAATACCAATAGGCTATAGAAGAGGCAACATAATCAGGTAAATTAATTACATACCAACATATACATGCCTGATTGTGTGTTTTTTTTAAAAAAAAGTTTATTTATTTATTTTGAGAGAAAGAGAGAGAGAGCAGGGGAGATGCAAAGAGAGAGACTCTCAGGCAGACCCCATGCTATCAGCTCATAGAGCCTGATGCAGGACTGGATCTCATGAACTGTGAGATCATGACCTGAGTGGAGGCCAAGAACCAGATGCTCAACCCACTGAGCCACCCAGGAACCCTGCATGTTCTTTTGATTGTAGAAGAACTGGGGACTGAAGGTAGTGAAGTGAGAAGGAAACCCAATGGTGGAGGGATGGGGCATGGAAAGGGCAGGCTTGAGGCAAAGGTAAACGTTATCTATCTGATGATGAACCTGCCTAGCACTGGTCTTGCTAAAATGAAGCACCAGCTGACAGCCACTCATGGTGTATCACATTGAAAGAGACTTATTATAAATGGGCTACCCTATCCACTCAGCTAATATACCCATGAAGTCAAAGGGAAGTGCCCCCTGATTCTGAGTAGGCGTTAGAGTTCTATTATAGGCAGGTCACTTACTTAAAAAAAAAAACAACCCTCAAATATACACAGACATTGAATTATTAGAGAGCAAAGGACAGGTAATGATGATGGTAAAGTTTAAACACACTTCCAATTAACCTGTCCTAGCCCCTGGGTGGACCCTGCAAGTATAAATTATAGACCTCAGCATAAAGTGACAGATGCTTGAGGATTAGGTCAGCAGCCACAAAAAGGGGCTGAATGCCAAATAGGTATCACTTTAGATTCATTATATGGAATTTGGTGTTCACTTTATAAATATTCTGGCTCATGTGTCTTTCTGCACAAAAGGACTTCATATCTATTCTTCAAGATGCAACTCGTATGCCGCGGTCTCTTAGGTAACTTCCTGGATCCCTGAAATTGAGTTTCCCTAGCCTCATCCCCCCACTCCTGCCTGTGTTTGAGCATGTACTGTATCGTACCTGTTGTTTTAGCCCCCTGTGTCCATGTTTTAGAGACACTATTTAACTATAAGCTCTAAAGGCAAAACTTACACAGAATCCCACTTTCTCTAGAACTTATATTTTACTTGTTTATAAGATATAATTTCTCTGTGATTTACATTCTCCTTTTATTTGTTTAATGGCTGCATTTCTCATTTTCCCACAAATTCCATGAAACATGGAGTCATGTCTATCCTAGTTACCACTCTAAATACAACATTATTCCTATCACAATGTCTAGCACGTAGTAGGCATTCAATAGACATTTATTAGTTACTGTATTTTATGTTCATACTGTTCAAATAACCTGGCAGACACAAACTTATAGATAACAGGATTTCAAAGAATGGTTAATAAACACAGTATATCTGAACCTGATGGATTAAAACTAGAGGCATAGTACACTAGTGCCACAGGTTAGAAACACACTTTTGGAGTAAATTCTGAATAAACAAGGTGGGGAGGGCTCTGTAGCAAGTCCCAAAGTTGGTGAACCCAAGCACTTTTCAGAAGTAGTGAGAAATTTTGCATTTTCTGCTCGAAATTTCTACTTAGAGAATAGCATTATTCAGAGTTTTTTAAGAAAATAGGGAAATAAGCAACTTCCAAAATCTATTTAAAAATGTTTTTTAATGTTTTATTTATTTCTGAGAGAGAGAGAGAGAGCATGAGCAGGGGAGGGGCAGAGAGAGAGGAAGATACAGAATCTGAAACAGGCTCCAGGCTCTGAGCTGGCAGTCAACACACAGCCCGACACAGGGCTCAAACCCATGAACTCTGAGATCATGACCTAAGCCAAATTTGGACACTTAAGCGACTGAGCCACTCAGGTGCCCCCCAAAATCTATTTTAGAACAATCTATTTCCACGATCCAAAATCTAAAGCCGTACAATTCAATCACAAAGAAATTGGGATTATAGATTTCTAACTACATCATGTCCCTCTTTTTCTGCAGAATTATGTTCATCGGTATCTTTGACTGCAAATGTATTTGTGGAGGAAAATTTTTACCACTATATTACATTTCTAGTAACACACTCCAAGGACTTAAAGATTGAGGAACATGAGCAGACTGTTTGAGAATGGGATCCCTGATTTCTCACTCAGAGGTGTCATGGTAGGATGTGTTAGAGTCAACTTATGTCTTAGAAAAGCCTTCATGAGTAGTAGTGCCTTCACAACATGTGGGGTAGTCAAGGCTTTGGATGTGAACAAATGTCTTCAAAATCTAGTGAGCACTCTGCCAAGAGAGCAAATGATACCATTTATAATAGCAACCAGGAAACTCAAAATCTCTTGGCCAAATTTGCATTGACCCAGTATTGGCCATTAGCCCAGCCTTCTCTAGCTGAGGAACTGAAAATCAAGAGTGAGTGTGCAAAAGTAGCATTCAGAACAATTTTCATGGGTATGATACACAAGCTCCAACTCTGCCCGCTCTATACCCCTACTCTCAAACTCCAAAACTCCTTACAAGCATCATCAACTTAAGGAAACTTCTTAGATTCTACTTCCTCAATGCTCCAAGTAGCGCTTTGGTTGTGTCAGTCTTTTCACATTATTTCTCATGTTCCAAACACATCTATGCCTTAGACTTTTGTTTTCTTGAAGGCATGTGTCATGACTTATTCTCCTTTACAGCCCAGGAATCTAACACAGTTAAAGGGTTGGCTCACATCAAACCCACCCTACCTGCATCTCCATTATACAGAGAAAGAAAATGCCTTGCATAAGTGGACACAAAGGACTCAGTAAGAATTTACTGAATAACTACTAGGTTCCAGCCACTGTCCAAGGTGCTAAGATACTGTTAAACAGGACAGGCAAGGTTTCTGCTCTCCAGGGAACAATAAGTAACCAAACGAATCCGTGGACAGATGATTTTAGATTGTCGTAAGAGTTACGAAACAAGTAAAAATGGGCAATGACATGAGGAGTGGTTTGAAGGAATGACAATGTGGCCTCAGAGAGTTGACATTTCAGCTGATACCTGATTGATGAGAAAGAGCCAGCGATGTTAGGATCTGCAAAGGGGGAGTATCCTAGGTAGAGGCACCAATGTAAAGCAATGTTTGCTACTGTTGCAGGTAGACACTTGGGAGGGGCACAGAGGGAGATGGTGGAGCTGCTTAATTGATAATTCTCTTTCCTCCACCTAAATCAGAGCAGGGTGCCATCTGTCCCCCCATTTTGCATATTTTTCTCATTATCATTTCCATTTTCTCAATTCTGCTTCCTGATTTCCATTAAATTATAAGAATGTGAGCCTCTGCTGGCAGCAAACACATCTGGAGCCCTCTTCCAGCCGCTAAACATCTAAAACACCAAACTAAAATCAATTTCAGTATAGAAGCAGAGACTTAGCTTTCATTATTATTAGGTCCATTCAACTAAAATTTGTTTTTTATGACAATTGGATGTCATTAGCATTACTGATCAAAGTCAGAAACTAAGTTATGAATTTACTCATCACTGTTTCTTTCCATAGTATCTCATAGGAAGTCCTATCATGGAGTAAAAAGTTTTAGCAAAGCTGCCTATTTCACTATACACTAACATAAAAAGAAACCCAGCAAATGCATCTAAATATTTCCCAAGGTAATCATAAAACTTCAGCAAACAACTATGCTATTTATTTTAATATTCCCAAATTTGAAATTTCTTCATCGTTATCATCATTTACTTCATTGCAAGTATTTCTTCATCAAGAACTGTAATCAATAAAAGAAAGAAGAAGAGAAGCAGCTAGTTTCGGCATGATGACCAGATTGTCTAGATATCGTGCCTGGAATACATCACAAGTGACATTTCTAGTCATGTTTCCAATCATTTGGAAAGTCACACAGACTTTCTTTGGCAATATGCAAAGCTTTTGGATGCTGCAAGCCCTGCTGTCAGCAACAGCAGTCCAGAAAAGGAGGTGTCGCACTAAATATACCCTACCTGATGCCATCTTCTGTTCCACCTCGAGACATTTAGGTTCTTCCTGGGATTCCTCTGCTTCCTGAGTTACAGTCCCACAAACCAGAAAAATAGGGAGAAAGTAAAAATATGAATTAATTTACAGCAACACTTTCTGCAAACCTACTGAATTTATATGAGATCATGATCTGAAAAAAATTAGACTGGACACTTATGATTGAGTCTTTGGACAAGCAACAAATTCAACAATAGATGTTGAGTAGAATAACTACAGGGGTGCTGGGTTACAAACTCCAGGGTATCACAGGAATGTATCTGTGGATTTGTCCCTGAAGCAATATAATTCAGGGGCCCTCAATGACTAATATGTTGGGGAGCATCTGTTACTTAGGCAAAGTGGTGGTAGGTTCCTCCGTAAGACAGATATTCTGCCAGCATGGTGTAATAAAGACAATTTTCTTTACTTTTCATTATTCAAAGAGCTGATTTCACATATTTTTGAAAAGTCTATCACCATTCAGTTATTTTTTATCTCTGGGAAGTTGAGTAAACACATTCCTGTCTGAGTTCTGCTGTGATATTCTTTAATGACAATTGTGACTCCTACAGCATTGCTAAAGTAGACTGAGCTAGAAGTGAGGGAAGTAAATTAAAAAGAATGTCTAATGATGCTTTTCTAATTTTGTCTTCAAGATGACTTTATGCTGATTCCTTCATTTATTTTTTTCCTTCACTCAACAAATAATTGTTGAGTGCCTCTTAGGGGCTATTTCTGTGGGACCTTAATTTCTACGCAAGATCCCTTCAATTACACTGCAAGCAGTTGTCTACTCAGCATCCTTCCCAGACTGGCACGCTTTCTGCACATATTTTGTTCCTCCAAAGAATATAGGCCACTAGAAGATGTTTTGGACCACAACAAAGTATGGAGTGTGGAGCTCCAAAAATGAGAACGAGGCTACTCTGTAACCAAACTGGAACAGTGTAACTAAAAAACTGATATCCACCATATGAGTACTCCCCCATTTGATGTAAGGTTGAAGCTCCTAAGTGATAATATCTTATCCAGATGAGAATCCATCAGATTCTCAAGCTTAGTTAGTAAGATAAAGAAGTGTTCTTTTCAACTCATGAAGAATAGTTTCTTTAAATTGTCATCACTATTAACTCACAAGGGAATTGATTTTACCTGTATTGGGAACAAATGTTTTATCAGAGATCAAAAATCATCTTAAAATGTTCATCAGGGAGCAGTTCCAAGAATTTGTCCTACTTTTGAAACCCACGAAACAGTATTGACATGGGCGATTTGAGTAAACGTGCATTCAGTTCAATTATCTCGAATTTACAAGTTGTAAGAAATTTTAATGAAAATTGCTTCCAAAATTATATTTCTAAAAATGATGTGAATTAATATTACACCAAAGGGCATATAAATGATAGGAGGCCCCATTATACAGAAACTAAATACAGCACCTAATTTGTTTCACAAGGCCCAACAGGATAGTATATAATGAAAACACAGGAGTTATTTTATAATATAGCTATAGAGAAAGTCTCTCAAATAACCAAATAAAATTGTTTCATAGATGAAAGGATTCTTCTTTGAACCAATATCAGTGTTTACTTTTTATTGCTTTGAATTCCAGAATTGTGAAATAATGTAGCTTTCCTCCAAACATATTATTTTATTTTAAAGTGCCCCTCCCCCAATTTTTCTCATTAAATAGTAAAAATTGCAAAGCCCTGGAATGATCTGCAGATGGACAGATATTTGGAATCCTCTTGGCTGGAGAGCTCTCAGCATAAAATAAACAAGCATCTGTCTTCAATAGTGTAAACTATGTTCTATTTAGAGAAAAAAGACTGAGCTCCTTAGATTCTTGTGTTTCTTCTCTTCAGTGCAAGTCTGTGATTTGCTGAATTTGTTCTTCTGGCTTTTCCCCAGCAAAGCTAGACTAAAATGACAACAGTCCAACTGTAGTAGACATCTGTTGAATTTGCTGCCTGGCATTTATTCACTCTATCTAGTAAGTGTGACCTGATTTCCTCTTTAAAGTCATTCCCTTCCACTCTTCATGAACTGGGTTCCTATGAAACCAGCCCAGAGCCCCATACACCTCCCTCCCCACCACTCCAGGGGTGATCATTTGACCAGAGCCAGGCCCACTGGTCCACTGCATTTCCCTATGATTGGTTCAGAGTAGTCATATGACCCAATCAGGGCTAATGATAGATTTCCTCTGGACTTCTGGGAATTTGACTCCTATCTTATCCAGTGAAACCTGAGTGACCTTGAGGGTTAGAGCTGCTGGTGTCACAGTCCACTGAGACAGACATCCACACAAAGGGAGAGCCAAGAGATGGACTGATAACCGAGTCCCAGTGATATCATGAGAGCCCCAAATCCAAGCATTCTAGAAGCAAGCTTAACCTTGGACTTTTCAGCCTAAGTCAGCTATTACGTTCCTTTTTATTAAACACACACACACACACACACACACACACACACACACACACACACATTGAAGAGCACCTGGGTCCTCAGTCAGTTAAGGATCAGACTCAATTTTGGCTCAGGGCATGATCTCACTGTTCCTGGGATGGAGATCTGTGACAGGCTCTGTGCTGTCAGTACGGAGCCTGATGAGATTCTCGCTCTCCATTCTTTCTCCTCTCCTCTATCACCAAAAATAAAGAAAGAAAGAAACATTTTTTAAACCATGTTGATTTTAAAAATAAAACCCATTTATATCAGGTTTTCTGTCACTTCTAACAGAACCAGCCAACGCATCTCAGCTCTGGGCAGCCAGAGTGGGCTGTGCTGGGCAATAGCTTCTGTGCCTCAACACTATTTTGTACTTTAATCTATTTTTAAATGGAATATGACAGGGACGATGCACTGACTAAGTGATCAGAGGAAGTGCTAGTACAATTTGGCAAATAACTGGGCTTTTCATCTACTTCCTCTGAGGTCTAATCCTAATATGTTTTACTGAGAGGTCATGAGTTTTGTATTCTTTATGATATGGTAAGTCAGGTGCGACCACAAGAGGAGACAGAGGAGGGGAAAAACAGGAAAAATAAGTCAATCACCATCACAGGTCCTGGAGAAGAAAGCACAGCCTGCCTCGGAGGGCCACATGGAAAAACACCAGAGTGGTTGGGGACAAAAGACAGGAGGTAGGGGAGCCTTTAGGACACGACCTTTATTGGGGTTTGTGCAAGGGAAAGGCAAAGCAGGGTATAGTAAACAGCCTAGGATTGGCTAGTTTAAATAATTTCAGTGGGCTGTGAGCTATAGGGATGGTCCCTAGTTGCCTGGTATCTGGCCCTGAGATAATTAAGGCAGATAATATTGTCTCTTGGGGCCAGATAGAGAAGGTCCAACTATGGATTGGTTAGTTTGCTTCATGCAGACACACTCCAGGCTGGACCCTCTGCTGTCTCTAAGAAATGGATAGCCAGAAAGGTCTTTTTAAAGATGTCAAAACATTACAATACACAGAAAAGTTTAAGTATTTGCAATACATCACACTAAACCACAACCTGAGTATGTTTACAATGAGTGAGTTCAAGGTATGTTTTAGCACAAATAAGTTTTTTCCCTCTAAGATTGACCTGTTTGAGCAATAGCAAATAAGTAAATAAGTAAATAAATAGAACATGAACTGTATAACCTCACTGACATACTTCGAGTCATGTTAAGTTGGCCTCATAGTTGTGCAACACTGACAGCTGGCATTTCACACTAGGAAAGCAAGTTTAGAAGCAAGATGGTGGTTCTAGAGAAAAATAGCATTTTTGACCAAAAATTAAGGAGATCTAGTCCCGTTCATTTCCACCTTTTGGAACAAGTACATGACTGACTCTTGGCTTCAACTTCCTCCATATGGAAAATGGATTCCAAATATAATCAGCCAAGAAAGTTGAATTCTAATTTTAAATAACTGTTTCCCTATCACCAAACATTTGAGAAGTCTTCAAGTTTTCTCTATCATGTGTTATACTACGAAGAACATCTTTCAATGTAAGGATTTTTGTTATTTCAAATTATTTTGGATTAAAGTTTTAAAGGTAGGATTTTGGATGAAAGGTCATGAATGTTTTTGAGGCTCTTGATGTAACCACACACACACACACACACACACACACAAAAACACACACACACACACAAAATATTACAGTAAATTAATGTGTTAAAATGTGACAGTTTTGTTAAATCCTCTCTAGCAACATGTAAGTCCACATTTTGATGGACATGAAGAGTCTCCCATTGGAGGTAATTTTAGAAATGGATGTCCAACATTCACCATATTCCAGAGCCAACAGTCTCTCATTTCACTTGTTTTCTTTTGACACTGAATTGCTACTAATAAATACGTTTTTAATCTTCCATGGAAGCCCATATCTAAGCCTCATCTATCCCACTATTTTGTAGGATCTTCCAGGGCAAAACCTATGCTTCCTCTTCAAGCTTCATTCAGGCTCTACCCTCTTTGTCAACAGGTGCACGTCAAACAATTATTGAATGGATTCAATTGTTCACCTACTTTACACTTTTGTTTAAAGTCTAACCTGGGAACACAGCCCACAGTGAAACTTTGAGCATTGTCCCTCCTAATAACAAAGATAAGGCCATAGTTTCTTCAAGAAGACCTTCCTGAAGCAGCTCCCATCTTCATCCCAAACTCTACCCCATTCAGTCTTTAAGAGGTAGTCAGCGAACATTTTTGGAGTGCTTGCAATGTGTCAAACTATGCCGTATGTGTAGTAGCTCATTAGTCTTCAACAACTCTCTGAGGCAGGTGACCTTATTATCATCACCCCTGCTTTATGGATGGAGAAACAGCGGCTCAGAGTGGCTCATTCACCCTGTACCAGATACTATGATGTGCCACCTGGAGGCCCCTTCAGGACTGAAAGATGTACTGTCACAGCCATAGGAAATGTGGTTAATAGACAGCACTCAGCTGTCAGCATCCCGGAAGAGAATTGCCAGGGCTGCTGGAACTTGGACTTGTTGACTTGAGGACAAAGAGGCCTGGCCCCCTCACCCAATCTCAACACCCAATCAACAAC